AAGCGAGCATCTTGCAGGGAAATTACAAGGACATCAAGCTCATCGTGTCTGAGGAGCTGCGGCAGCAGGTCGTCGTAGCGCTCTCGCGGTCGCTGCGCACGGTCTTCACCGTACTGGTCCCGATGGCGGGGGTAACGTTTTTGGTGGGCATTTACCTCTCTTAACCTTTCGTTTTAATGCTCACCGGATTGCAGCTATCCTTGCTTGTTCGGCATTATAGTTTAGAAAGGAATTTCGTGCAGAAGGGGCGCGCGTCGGAGGAGGCGCCGACGCAAGAAGATAATCTCGACGAAAAGAAGGCTGAGACAGAAAAGTAGATAGAGAGCATTTATTAAATGAAGTTGCCCGGACTTATTCGGCCCTGTCGGCTCCGAAAGGCCTATGGTGTTTGCCCCTATTTTCAGTTCTGTCGATAGCCTTGGCGACGCAACTACAGCTCGCTCTCTTGATAGCTTCAACGCCGGTCGTACATTGTTCTGAAATAGTGGCTCCCTAAATTAACAACGGGAATCCCCAAGAGTTAATCCAAACCGGGATGGACAGGTCCGAGGCTGGGGTCGCTGGTATACTTCGACTCCCGAACGAAATTCTTCTCGAGATTTTTCGACATCTGGATTCTGCCGACTTTGGCATTTTCAGCCTTTCTACTTCATGTAGACGTCTTCATTACCTTGCCCTCCCAATCTATCTCGCGGCATATGGCATCGTCGACGCGCCAGCGTTAGCCGCCCAAGACCTCGCTCTCACTCCCAGTCAACTCGAGGTACTGGGTGCACTCCAGACGGCACTCTTTATCCCTTCCCTGAAGCACATTTCCTGCTCCTTCTCCTTGAATAGTGCCCGCCCCACGTACTCATCTCAAAAGATGGATATTTTCTTCCGCCATATCAGGAGACTCGCTGGCTTCTTGTCGATCCTGGAAAGGGTGGACGAGGTCACGCTGGATTTCAAGGACCTCAATTTCTGGGACATCGAAGAAAGCCTCGGTGTCCTGGAGACTTGGGCGTCGGCAATTTCCGCCCTTCTGGACGTTATATTGGAGAAGCAGTGCCAAACATTAAAGGTGGTGGGAGGAATGTTTATTGCGCATTCGTCCCAGTTCCTACGCAAACCGGGCACACGGGTGGCCGTTAAACGACGGTCAGTTATGTATGACATGGGCCGTCGAATTGGGAGTGCTTTCGTAGGGAGAGCAGACGTCCAACAAGTTTTAGCTCCTGGAAAGGCCCAACCGAGCCTCAGGACGTTTAACATCAACTCCAGGGTACTTCTCCTCCACCCATGTTTCAGCTGGACGATGGCGGCTTTACGATCCTCTCCAAATCTTATCTCCCTTTCCATCATCCGCGTCGATATTCCGGAGCGTAGCTGGGACGACATCCTGTCCAATATCCACGTTCCCTCCCTCGAATATTTGACCATGGACCTCAGCTGTAGAATTGAAGCAACCGCATTCGATCAATTTATCGCGCGACATCCGCTCCTCAGCACCTTGAATCTCGGGCGCGACCTCTCGCTAACGGAAGGCGACGTCGCCTCCAAGGACTGCCTCCGCAATCTAATCAACCTCTGCGCCTCCCCATCCTACATCCGCTTCCTCATGGCCGACAAACGCGCGCCCGCCGTGCGCAATGTCCGCCTCCACGTGAAGGTCACGTCCCATGCGATCTTCAACGCCGCGACCATCAACCACACGCTCGCGCCGTGCCACGCGCGCCTAGGCCCGGAGCGCGTACATCTCACACTCGTCATCGCGGTCGACTACGTGTCCTCGCACTGGACGGGCTTCTTCGCTGACGAGGACGGCACCGGCACCGCGCCGCCGAAGAACTTGAAGCGCACGCCAGTGCCCGACTCGCTCCGGTGCGCCCGCGTGCTGGAGATGGTCTCGACGTGCCCCAGCGAGGCATTCGAGGCGCTCGCGCTCCGCTGGCTGCCCGCGTTTCCCGCCATCGAGTCGATTTCGTTTACACGGTGTCTAAGCAAGGGCTTGGATGCGCTTTCCTTTGTTCGCCGTGTCAAAGAGACCTGTCCTGGAATCCAGGAGGTTATGCTTGATGGCCAGACCTACGATGCGGCGTCCTGGGAGCAATGACTGTAAATGAAGCCCCCTTGTGGTATTTAATCTTGAATATTGAACTCCTTTTTCTCAGAGACATTATTAGTTCTATTTACTCCTCTAGATCTGGTGCCCATCGAACGTCCAAAGCCTCGTGCCGCGACGCGCTTGCTTGAGAATACCTCGCGTCGCCGCGTCGCACTCCCAACCCTCGACTAGATCCTCCCCCAAACACGCCCCAGCCTCAGCTGCCTCGTAACCACCATCATCCCCACAGACAAAAGAATCGTCCCGCCCGCGTAAAACCCCACCGCCTCGAATCCCCCCGTCGCGGTATTGATGGCCCCAGATATCGGCGGGCCCGCGAGCGCCCCGAGCGCAGCGATAGTGAGCGCCATCCCCGTGCGACGCCCGACGTCCGCGACCTCGCCGAGCGCAAAGATCGGGAGGGGGAACGTGCTGACGTACGTGCCCGAGACGACGCTATGTAGAATTTGGAGTCAGTACAACAGTCGCCTTCGCGAAGGAAGGGACATGACTTGCCCGTATAATGCAGCGATGACGATGAGCGAGGCTTGCGTGCGGGCGTGCGGCCACGCAAAGGTCATCCCGGCTGCGACGAGTGTCATCGGGACGAGGACGTTCAGTGGGCCTGCCAGTGGGTAGGAGGTTACTCGCATGGCAGGCATAGCGACTGGGAAGACTCGCCAATTCTATCCGAGCCAATGCCGCCTGCGAGTCGCCCGAAAGCCGAGCATCCGTTGGCGATTGACACGAGGTAGAAGCTGAAGTCGGGCGAGACACCGACGCTCACGGCGCTTAAATCGATGTATGTCAATACAGTGTATAGACCTGGAGGTACAAGTTAAAATCGATCAAAATTCATGAATGCAGTTGAAAGAGACGATACCAACCGAGAAAGGAGACGAAGCCGCTAAGGCAGTATATTGTAAATGGCGCCGACCTAAAGGCCTGCAGATTAAAAAGACCCCCCTTGACGTTTTTCGGCGGCAGTCGTCTAGCGAGGGTCAGATTGGCAAAACCGAGCGTAAATATTAGGATAAATGCACAGATGCGCATCGTCCAGGGGAATCTGGTCGTAGGATGAGCACGGCTGTCTAGCAAAATATATACTGTACGAAATATATCACCCGACAAGAGGAATGAGTTTGTGCGTCGCAATGGGAAATATCGTGCCTCCGATGGACGAGCCGATCGCACTGAAGCCCGTTGCTAACCCGCGTCTCCGGTTAAACCAATGGCCGATGACGCCAAATGTAGGGCCAAAAATCATCCCGCAGGCCAGCTAGATGCTCGGATTGATTCTCCGTATGCGTATATGAGAAGAGATACTTACGCCGGTAGCGAGTCCCTGACATAGAAGGAAATGCCAGTACTCGGTGCATTGGGCTACGAGGAAAGTGGAGAGCACAAGTAAAGCACTAGCTGCCAGGTAGGGAATCTTGAAGTACCCGAGATCGAATAAACGGCCCGTTACCAAGCCCGGCAGGAAAACGAGAGAATACTAATAGTTAGCCCGTTGTCAGAGTCTGAACTAGGGGAAATAAAATATATAGTGACCTGGATGGAGCCGATCCACGCTCTAATTTGGTATTATGTTGTGAAGAAACGGATAACATATAGAAGCACGCACATATTGGAAGCAGGGACATCTTTCAAAATAGTCTCTTCGTAGTAGGCTTGGAATACCTGCACGTACACGTCTTTTTATATCATGAAAATATTCTTGGATCCGTACTTACACCCCAGGCATTTACATAGCCAAACCTAGATAAGTGCTCAATCGTTAGTATGAAACCACGCATTCACGAAGGAATGTTCTTGCGTCGATATAGAGCCTGCCATTGTCTGTAAAGTAAAATCGTAGGTTAAGGACAAGACAGAGGAGAGAAAACAGCGCAGGACTCACCCCCACAACAACCAGCCAGGCTCTGAATCCGCCGTCAGGGAAATCTGGCTCCGAGTCGCTCGAGGTTGGTACGTTCTCCTTCTCGATTTCGTCGCCGAGTTCGGTGGTATTTTCGTTGGCAGAGGACGTCCCGACATCGGTACCTTCTGGCTGGCCGTCCGCCATGGAGAATGTCGAGAAGGAAGAAAGTAAAGCCGGCGGAAGCGTTAATCAGCCATCTCAACGTTTGCGGAGACTTCAAGTTCGCCGATATAGATGCCGCCAATATTCCCCTTTTAGGAAGGCCGAGGGAACTCACGGTGGTGGTCGACGTCCCCGCTCTGCGTTTCAACGGCCAGCGGAATATACAAAAATGTTTATTGAGTCCAAGTCCAAGTTCTGACGGTTTACCATCAACCTAAAATGTGGCTGTGTGATGCATTTGATCCTGTCGATCCACCGTATCCGCTTGTCCGTTATCGCGTTCATCAATTCAACATCTCCCAAGCAAGTCTCAACCAAAATAATTCTTGTAGGATCCAATGAGACATCCCAGTCCGCAAGTGCCTTTTCCTCATTTCGAACGCTACCATTTTGACGGATTTCAATCGTGACAATTTCCGCAAGAGTTCAAGACAACCCGTAACCGCAGTAGAGCTTGCGATGGCCTGCCACATTACAGCATTCATACAAGGCTGGTGTACCTGGCCCGAAAACAATCAGTTGTAACTTGCGCCCCCCGCTCTGGCGCCAGCCGTCTTCTTTTGGGGTGCGCCTGGGGCTTTTCGATGGAGTTCTGCCCGCTTTACGTCTCTCTCGCGCTGGACTCGTTTCGATTCTATAATAGCCAGTCTTCTAAACTTGACTTGTTTGCAACTGGCGGCCTGTTTTTTTTTATTTGAACAAAACAAGAAAAAGAAAAAGAAAATACCACACAAGAAACCCAGGATCGCACAGGGAGAATGCACTGAAGTTTCACGCGGACGCGGGGGCACGCCGTCACCGCCCCAGGGGCCCGGCTCACAGGAATACTGCCACTAGAGGGAATCGAACCCTCGACCTCCCGCGGTCGAAACTCAAACCGTGCGGGCCATTCTACCACTGAACTGTAGTGGACAGCGAGAGGGATGAACTCTCAGTCGATATACGCTGCTACGGTGCACACCCACACGGATGAAGGTTAGGTTATTTTTTTTTGCACACCCAAATTCCAATTTAAAGCGGCTGACGCAGGTCATTCTCTGTCAAAAACTGTCTTGCCCCTCTGGGACTGGTTTGAGTCTATGGCCGGCCTTCATTGAGAATCGTTCGAGCACAATCGCCGCCTATTGACAAGATTGCTACTCAAACAAGTTTCGGAACTGCCCATAATGAAACGATGGAAGACATCTGCTAAAATATTGGTCCGGTGTAGGTGTTCAAAAGCTTGATATCAACGGCCCCTTACCTGTGGTGGGTTAGCCGTTCTGCTCCAGATACGCGCGCCATCGTCATTTAACTCTTGAATCGGACGGTGTGGTTGCGGGCTGCTCGAAGATGCAATGCACACGACTGGACAAGACAAAACAATGTTTACATAAAGTATGAAAGATTCGAGTTCGTTACTAGTGACTTCCCACCAAGACTCGGGCAGCCTTCTCCAGAAGCTCGAAAAAGTGGTCGACCCGGAAAGCGTATGCTTCGTCCTCATCCGCATACTGCAAATAAAATAACTTCTCCCCTCCGAAAACTGCAGAGACCGCTATGACCCGAAAGAATTCATCGTCTTCGCCAACATTATCACTGGGGGCGACAAAGAAATTGCCTAGCAAAGGGTCGGGATTCTGCTTCCAGTTCGTAAGCTCGTCAAGAGTTACGGGGGTGTGGGGGCAGGAGTCTGCCACGGTGGAGGGGAATGGGACACATGGGCGGATTATATCTTTGAATCGCGGCCCACTAGGTTCGTCGGCAGGCCAGGCTGAGATTGCATGAGCGCAGGGTCGGGGGGCTGGCGCAGTGAGTCCTATATCTCCGAGAGGGAAGGGTGACTGATTCCTGAAAACCGTTTAAAGAGGGAGATAGGAAGGAAGGAGTGACAACAACGAACGAAAGCGGCTCAGTATACTGGTGTTGTTCTGCGGTGAGGATGGCCTCGACGGTGGTATACTGAGAGTTGTAAATAGGGGGTAGTTACGTGATGTTACGTAAGGCGCGTTTCGGGGTCCTCTTGCCTTTCTCCACGTCCCCAACTCATTCAGCCAATCTCAACTTCAACATTTCTCTATTCAACCTATGTAGTTCTAGGCTCACTAATGCCAGTGGTGCTCACTTCTTCTCGCTCGGACCGAAAGCAAGCCGGAAATCTGTGAAATCTTCATAATCTTGTGCTTTCTAAGCCCTTTTAATGCTCGGTCAGATTTACAAATACACCCGAGATGCTGAGGTGCAATGGCCTGGATCGCGCTCTCAGGACTATAAAAGGTTCTTGAACATGACTCGGAAAACCAACAACATTCCAGTCAATTCCTCGCCTCTCACACTCCAATGTCGACTCCCAAACTGTTCCAACCGACCATTGTGGGAGACATTGAACTCAGCCACCGCGTCGTTTTCGCCCCGACGACAAGGTTCAGAGCCGACGCGAACCGTGCTCCTCTTCCTCACGTTGCAGAGTACTACGAGCAGCGCGCCAGCACCTCGGGCAGCCTCCTCATCTCCGAAGCAACTTACATCGCTGCGCGCGCGGGGGGATACCCCCACGCGCCTGGGATTTGGTCTGAAGAGCAGATCGCCGCATGGAAAAAGGTTCGTTTCCTTGATCCTCTTTTGCGAGCGATGTAACTAATCCATACGGTAGATCACCGACGCAGTGCACGCAAAGGGCTCCTACATGTACCTTCAACTATGGGCTCTCGGTCGAGCTGCTGACGTAGGGGCGCTCGCGGCGGACGGTCTGCGGGACGCCTACGTGTCGGCGTCTGATGTGCCCATTGCGGGCCGGGAGCCTCCTCGCCCACTCTCCGTGGAGGAGATCCAGGAGTACGTGCAGCTTTACGCAACCGCGGCCTCGAATGCCGTGCACAAAGCCGGGTTCGACGGTGTCGAGATCCACGCCGCCAACGGATACCTGCTCGACCAGTTCCTGCACGACCGCAGCAACGTCCGGACGGACGCGTACGGCGGATCGGTCGAGAACCGCGCGCGGTTCCCGCTCGAAGTTGCAGAGGCCGTTGTCAAGGCCGTCGGGCAGAAGAAGACGGCCATGCGAATCAGCCCGTGGGGCACCTATAATGGTACGCTCCCCGCCTTCTTTCAAGTGATGCGATTCTGACCTTCTTTCAGACATGCAATTTGACCACCCCAAGCCGACATACACGCACCTCATCACGGAGCTGCGCGACCGCTACCCTGAACTAGCGTATCTACACGTCGTTGAACCCCGCGTAGACGGCAGCGAGACCGTCGAGAACATCAAAGACGGCTACTCCAACGACTTCATCCGCGACATCTGGGGCGACCGCCGGCTCATCAGCGCCGGTGGGTATACGCGGGAGACCGCGCTCGCTGCCGCCGAGGAGAAGGGCGACCTGATTGCGTTCGCGCGGCCGTACATCGCCAACCCGGACCTGCCATACCGCCTGCTCCATGGGATCGCGCTTGCGGTTGGGAACCGTGCGCTTTACTATGCGCCTGGGAGTGTTGATCCCAAGGGGTATACGGACTATCCGTTCGCGGCGGTCGTGGTAGCTCATTGAGACTTGGGAGTGTACTCTATTTTATTTACTTGTAGCAATAGCTTTGTTTTAGATTTCTTCCTCAATACCAGCAATAAACTACATCAGTTCTATGGACAAATCTGAGGTTTCTCGGCTTGCGAGCCATTTCTCGATAACGCTCTACCAAAACAAATCAATCCAGTCTTTGGAATTTTCCCTGCGTAGTCTTAAGCAAACGCGAGATCCAACAGCGAATTTCAAACAAAGAAACAAAAATATCATAACTGAAACCCCGTATGCACTAGGGACTGCACGGGAATTCCACGCGGTCGCGGGGACACTGGCCCCTAGACCCGGCCCTAAATTACCTCTAGGAGGAGTCGAACCTCGGACCTCCGCATTCCCGGTGGAAGAAACTTGGATGGAGATCCTACGACTATGTCATAGAGACAATTGAGGGTGATCCATTTCCGGTCAATATATACCCGCTTGAAAGGGACTGCTACAAGCCGTTTATGGCATTTGTGGTACTTACTGGCAGACGCTTGACGCATCAAGCCTCGCGAGGACGGCCTTGACTGCTGGGTCGGGGTTCCCTGCTGCTCGGACCGCCGGCGGATCGCTATAGTCGAATCCTGGTTCCACGTCTTGTGCTGTGAGGGTGTAGTTGCTGGTTGACATGGCTGTGCGCGGCGTTAATAAGCCATTACACTTCTAGTTCGCCGATATATGTAGATGCCGCCACGGTTTCCTACTCTACGTTTCAATAATGGCCAGCGGAATACATACCTATCGAGTCCAAGGCGTCGAGTCTCTTGAGACGGTTCGTTGTCAAGTTCAAATGCTCATCAAGTGGCTGTGCGCAAATCCTCTCTCTCCTTCAATTCAACTTGTTCAAGCTTCAAGACCCTTCAAGTTTCCTCACTCTCCCGGTCTGGTATCCAAACGGAGGCGTATTATTCATACTCGCTTGAACTGCTTATTGAATGCTCCGGAAAGCACTTTCTAATCTTGTGCTTTGTAAGACCGCCGAATCCTGCCCACAGTCAATCAGATTTTACCAACCATGACCGAGCTTTGTCGCCCGGGGGTGCCATGGTGAAATGGCCTGGATCGCGCTCTGGAGACTATAAAGGGTTCTTGAAATGACTTGGAAAACCAACAACACTCCAGTCAATTCCCCGCCTCTCACAACCAATGTCGACTCCCAAACTGTTCCAACCGACCCTTGTGGGAGACATTGAACTCAGCCACCGCGTCGTTTTCGCCCCGGCGACAAGGTTCAGAGCCGACGTGAACCATGCCCCCCTTCCTCACGTTGCAGAGTACTACGCGCAGCGCGCCAGTACCTCGGGCAGCCTCCTTATCTCAGAAGCAACTTACATCGCTGCGCGCGCCGGGGGATACCCCCACGCGCCTGGGATCTGGTCTGAAGAGCAGATCGCAGCATGGAAGAAGGTTTGTTTCCTCTTCTTTTGCGAACTATTTAGCTAATTCATATGGCAGATCACCGACGCAGTGCACGCAAAGGGCTCGTACATGTACCTCCAACTATGGGCTCTCGGTCGCGCTGCCGATGTAGGGGCACTCACGGCGGAGGGCCTGCGAGACGCCTATGTCTCGGCGTCTGATGTGCCCATTTCGGGCCAGGAGCCTCCTCGCCCACTCTCCGTCGAGGAGATCCAGGAGTACGTCTCGCTCTACGCCACCGCGGCCTCGAATGCCGTGCACAAAGCCGGATTCGACGGTGTCGAGATCCACGCCGCCAACGGCTACCTGCTCGACCAGTTCCTGCACGACCGCAGCAACGTCCGCACGGACGCATACGGCGGATCTGTCGAGAACCGCGCGCGGTTCCCGCTCGAAGTTGCAGAGGCCGTCGTCAAGGCCGTCGGGCAGAAGAAGACGGCCATGCGAATCAGCCCATGGGGCACCTATAATGGTACGCTCCCTCCCTTCATTCAAATAATACAAATCCTGACATTTCTCCAGACATGCACTTCGACCACCCCAAGCCGACGTACACACACCTCATCACGGAGCTGCGCGACCGCTACCCCGAGTTCGCATACCTACACGTCGTCGAGCCCCGCGCAGACGGCGGCGAGACCGTCGAGCACATCAAGGAGGGCTACTCCAACGACTTCATCCGCGACATCTGGGGCGACCGCCGGCTCATCAGCGCCGGTGGGTATACGCGGGAGACCGCGCTCGCTGCCGCCGAGGAGAAGGGTGACCTGATTGCGTTCGCGCGGCAGTACATCGCCAACCCGGACCTGCCTTACCGGCTCATCCATGGGATCGCGCTTGCGGTTGGGAACCGTGCGCTTTACTACGCGCCTGGGAGTGTTGATCCCAAGGGATATACGGACTATCCGTTTGCGGCAGCGGTGGAGGCTCATTAAGATGTCCCTTATTTCT